ATCAACATCTGAACATTACCTGATGCTCCTGAAGTGAAACAAAGTCACAGAGGTTTTTATTAGAGACACGGCTAAGCATTTTGCAGTTTTGTATAATTTTAAAAGTTTAAATTTGTTCAGTCTTCAACAGCAGAAATGAGGTTTTCTCTTCGGAAGTAAGTAAATGGAAAAAAAACAGCGACCGACAGCCTGTAAACAACGGTAGACTTGTGCGTAACCAGCAAGCGAATAATGCAGAAAACAGATTTTTAGATGGGAAACTGTTCTTGAAGTAGAGAGAGAGAGAGAGCTGTGCATGAAGTGTGATTTTATCTGGTGGAAGCAAAACAGCAAAAGTCAGAGTGAGTCCATGATGATGTTTATGTGAAGCGTAGTTTGGATCTTCTTTTGCTGCTGGTTCAGTCAATATTGTTTGGAGAGAGATCAAACTAACAGCTTTAGAATCAGCGTAAAAAGGGCGTGAACACAAAGTGTGGACCCGCCGACACATCAGAGTCAGCGAGCTGTCGACTGTCAGCCCCGACCGTGTCCGTGCCGTCGGTGAGAAAGTCACATCTCACTGACTCTGATCCGCGGGTCGAGCTTTGTGTTTAGTCTTTGTGCAGAATCCGTGTTCCTGCTCTCATTTACTGTTTTAGCTGTTTGGTGGTTGTTGAAGTTTTGTGAGGTTTAACCTGAGATTCTGGCGTTTTGGGCAAAATACATTTATATTAAAAAATCGATTCAGGATTTTAAAAAAATCGATTTTACGTTATCCAAGCCAGAATCGACTTTAATCGATAAATCGATAATCAAAACCCATCTCTAGTAAGCAAAGACCTGCTGCGTAAGTGTAATAAAATCTGTTTTTGTGAGCATGTCTTTATTATTGTTTTAATTTTATTCTCTTACCTACAAGTTTCTGTCAGTTGCATTACAGTTTTTGCCCGTTGCTTGAACACTATAAACCCATGCTTAGACTAAAGTAACACAACGTGAAGCTGTTGTTACCATACCTCAAACACATGTACCCCTACCTTAAACAAAAGCGCTGCTTTGCACCCCAGTACCAATTATGCAACACACCTACTCCCTCATGCAACACACATGGTCCTGCATGCTACACTCTATTTCATACATAAGACACTTCGCTCACAAAATGAAATGTCAGGGTGCCATTCGGAAAACACATGTATCCAAAATACAAAACACATCGGGTAATTGCAACCACGCAAATACACACCTGAAGGCACCTACTTGCAAAACCGAACACCAATTAGCCAACTACAAAAAGCCCTCAGCGTAGCCATTCCAAGAACTTTGCAAGCATGGATGGAGGGAGAGCAAGAGGATATTTACCCCGGTGCCTAGCGGGAGAGGACATTGCTTGCGATGTTGATGAGGTCCTGTGGCCAGACCCCAACAGACGGCGGGATCCATGAGCCCACTTATGCACAATTGTCATGGTTTTTTGTGTTCACAGTATAGTGTTTTTTCTATTGCAGTACTATTGTGTTGTTGTTGTTTTATTTGCTTTACCTGTATTCATGGTACTGCAATGTACAGTATTGAGTAGGTCTATTTGCGTTTATGGTTGTTTGGAAATGTGTCCCCTGTAAATGTGCCTTCTGAATAAACAATGGGAATCAAGGACTGCAGTGTTTTATGTACAGCAGACTAGTGTGTTCCCCCTGATCTATAAGTGTTTGCATATGGTGCAGGTATGTGTCATTTTGTCAACAGAGTTACATTTTGACAAAGAAATGTTAGGTTTTGACAGCAGAGTTTAGGTTTTGGGAGTAGAGTTCCAATTTGGCACAGATGTGCATGGTATATTTCCCAGTGTTGTGCCATGTGTACTTGTGTGTACAGTTTTGGCACAGCGAGCGGGGTTTGCAAAATGTGTTCAAGCAGTGGGCAAAAACTGTAATTAAAGTGACTCCGTGCCCATTTTGTTGTTTCCTAAAATCAACAACCATGTCTTTTGTTTTAGATATGTTCAGCTGGAGATAAGACTCCTCACACCACTGAACAAAGTCATCAATGACTGGGCCGTGGTTAATTTCACCCTCTTTCAGTAAGCTGACAATAACAGAGTCATCTGCATATTTAATAATGACCCTGTTTTCATGTCTGCCCTGACACATATTTGTATAGAGAGTGAATAATAAGGGCGATAGGACGCACCCTTGAGGAGAACCTGTGGAGGAGAACACTGGGTCAGACAGAACCCCATTTATTCTCACTCTTTGTGACCTGTCAGTGAAAAAATCTAAAATCCAGCCAACCAGGTTTTTCCTGATTTCAAACTGTTCTAAAAGTCTTTTAATTAAAATATGGGGCTGTGTTGTATTAAAAGCCGAAGAAAAATCAATGAAAATAAGTCTTGCAAAAGTCCCTTTACTCTCTACATGTTTAAGAATCAGATTTAATAAAGTCAAAAGTGCGTCCTCCACTCCTCTGTTGGGCCTGTATGCAAACTGCATTGGATCCAGCTGACCTTGAGTCTCTTTCATAATCACATTTCTGATGATTTTTTCAAAGACTTTCATTACAACTGAAGTGAGGCAACAGGCCTGAAGTCGTTTAGATTTAGGGACAGGAACCACGACTGCTTCTTTCCAAAGAGAGGGCACATGTTGTGTTTGCAAGGATTTGTTAAAAATAACCTGAAATATAGGCCTGAGTTCATCAGCACAAGATTTAATTAGGCGGCCACTAATATTATCAGGACCTGGCTCTTGTTCACATTGACTGTATGAAAGGCCTTTTTAACATCGCTGAGTTCAATAATAAAGTGCTGAGTATCTCTCAGTTTCTGTTTCAGTTCAGAAATATCCTCGCTGAAATCAAAAGAACTAAAACGAGCATAAAACATGTTCAAAGCATTTGAAAATCTCTGTCTGAATTAAAACATCTAAAATGACCTGACTGCTGCTCTGGGGATTTTGAAACCCTGCTATGGTTTTCATACAAGTCCAGGCAGACCCAAAATTTTTTGCAGCAAATTTGCTTTCAAGAAGGTTTTTGTAGCTCTGTTTTGCTTTCAAGATCTCGATTTTCATTTCTTTGGTGGCTGTCTGAAAATCGGTAACAGCCCCTCTTTAAAGGCCTGTCTCTTTTTCCTTAAACAGGATTTGACACTTTTAGTGACCCATGGCTTATTGTTAGCATAGACTTTAACGTGCTTACGGGGTATAATCATGTCTTTACAAAATACTGCATAAGAGCTAGTAACATCCACCAAAGCGTCGAGATCTTCTCCACAAGACTGAATAAAAACTTCCCAATCTGTACACTTAAAACATTCCTTCAAGGTAAGCACAGATTCTTCTGACCATATGTCAACATCCTTAGTCTTTGTCTTCTCTCGTTTTAAGACAGTTTTATAGATGGGCAGAGGATGCACACAGTTATGGTCAGAAGATCCCAGAGGAGGAAGCGGGAGGGATTTATAAGCATTCTTCACCGATCCGTAACAGAGGTCCAACATTTTATCCCGTCTGGTAGGACAGGATACATATTGATACAGATTGCCCAAAGTTGATTTAAGGGAGACATGGTTAAAGTCCCCCATTATAAAGTTTGGTGCATCAGGAGAAAGCGCCTGCAGCTTCTGTACTACGTCTGAAATGATGCTGCAAGTGGAGGCGGGGTGAGCCTTCGGGTGAATATAAACTACGGTTATAAAAAGTTGTGGAAACTCACGAGGGAGATAAAAAGGGCGCAGTGACACAGATAAAAGTTCAACATCTGGTGTACAAATACATTCTCTAACAGTCACAGCGCTACAGTAACGTTTGTTCACATACAAGCATACTCCCCCTCCTTGAGATTTCCCTGTTACTCGTGCATCTTGATCCCGGCGGAAGGGAGCTCCAAAACCGTCGATTGAAAAATCGGCGTCCTGATCCAGCTCCGTCGGCCATGTCTCGGAAAAAGCCATTACACAGCTGTCCCTGAAGTCTTTCTGGAACCTGACGTTTCCCTGGAGTTCATCCAGTTTGTTCCTAAGAGACTGAACATTTCCAAGGATAACAGACGGCAGGGGAAACCGACTGACCTGTTGTCTCCTCATACGCAATTTAACACCTCCACGTCTCCCTCTTTTCCTCTTCTCACTCGTTCTGTTAAAATCTTTATGTATAAAATCCGGCATACATGAGGTGAGGTCCTTACCATCATACGGTAAGTTAAGTTGTAACAGTTCGTCGCGGGAGTAAACAATCCTCAGCTGACTCACGGCCTCGCCCACCTCATTGGAAACAAGCCAGCACAGTAGAAATCCAACCACAATGAAGAAGAAAGAATCCATGACGTTCTCACTATTGTGGAGCGTGTGTCACTTTGTAAGAAAACTGTCACTTCTTTCAACCAAAACACATGCCAACAAATAAAAAAAGAAATAATAAAAACTTAAAAACTTAGGATGCCAAGCTCTCACTCACTGCCGGTCGCTGCGTGCGCATGTGCCCTGAGTACATACATTTTAGGGCATGTATGAATTACTTTTGACCCATTGATAAGCATAAATAACAAATTGTTTTGGCTTTAGCATTTTCTAAATCAGTGATGTCTTTTCATTAAAAGCAAGCGTGAAGTGAATTTTATTGTAATTAAACTTGTTTTATCACATGGAAATTTGAAACATGTAATTTTTATTACATTTATTTGAAACATTGCAGATGTTTTAAATCATAAAGAACATAAACATAAAAAATAACAAAATTAACAAACACAATTTTAAACATTGTAATCCATCTTCAGCAAAATTATAATGACACTAATAATAAAACCAAGGTGAATGTCAAAATGAAAACTTTGAAACTGTTGTTAGCACAAAGTACATTTGAGATTTCCTCATGGAAATACATGTCCACTTATGTTGAAGCTTCTCTCTAAAACACAAATAAATGTGTATTTAATGTGTCAACAGTGCAGTTATAATCACTTGTTTATGTAAAGTCAAGTTGATTTGAAAATTGATTTTTATATAAAAAAAAGTTTGTTTAGTTCTGGAGTTATAAATGATCAAGGGGTTCCTCTCGCTTCTCTGTTTTAGCCATGAGCTCTGCTTTTTCTTTCATCTCCATCAGAGACTGAACTCGTCTCTTCCAGCCTGGTTTGCCCTCATATTTCTCTCCTTCAATAAGCATGTCAATGTACTCTGGAGTGGACAAAGGGTTTGGTTTAAGCGCTATCTCTCTAAGTCTGTTCAGACACTTGGAGGACCACTCCATTAATTTCACCACTTCAGCCTGAACATTTTTACATTGAGCCTTCAGATTGTCAACCAGTCCCTAAAAAGTTGTCTTCTTCCCTGTGGCTTTCTGGTGCTTTTCTTTCTGTGTTGTTTTCTCTTTAACCTGTTGAACTCCCATGGGAAAGGTATATTATGATGCACATCCCAGGAACATTTGCCTTGACACTGAGTACACCTTCCATCTGATCCGATTCCATAACAGCCTCTTTTACTTGCATCATCTGGTATCTGACAGGGGTAGTGACAGGTGACACCGCATTCGGAACAGTTGGTGACATACTCTTTTTTGCCCAAAATACTCTTTTGAATAATTTTTGGGACAGTAACTTCAAACTCAAAGTTCTCATTTCTGCTGATCTCGGCTTGATGTTCTTTAAGTCTCTCGCTTGTCTCATTAATCTCCTCGATCTTGGCTAACCGAAGTTTCACCTGCTCCTGCAGATTCTCAACTGTAATCTCGAGCTGCTTTCTTTCTGTGAGGACCTCCTTTGTAAGTGTCAAGCTTTTTGTTTCTAGGAGATTTAGAGCAGCAAAAAATCTCTTCATGCTTTCTGTTCCCATTTCCCAAAACATCTGATCAAAACGTCCTCCTTTACCAACATCACTCCTGCTGACTCTTTCAAATGATTCATTCTGTGCAAACAAGGCTGAATTATTGAAATTGAAGTGATATGGCAGCCCATCTTGTGTTTTAGGACATGGGACTTTTAAAGCATTGATCGCCTCAAGAACTGGAGGATGCTGACCATCTGCACATGTCACCAGAATCCAGATGTTTTCTTCCACATTGTTGCCAAAGATTGAGAGCACTGAATCAAACACATATTTCTGTGCTGCTGTGAGTCGTGGTAATGAAGCCTCAGCTACAAAACACACAGCATCAATGTCAGTGACACCATGCTGATCAGAGAAGAGATTATGTATCTGCTCTACGATCTCTCTGTCTCTTTCTATGCCTCTTGTATCTCCAAAGCCTGGAGTGTCAATAATGGTCAGAGAGAACGGGATTTGAAATCCCTCCTGGTGGTTGATTTTGTAAACAGTGACTTCAGAGGTCTGACTGTGAGCTTGTGATTTTGACTGATCCTCATTAATTAATTTAAATCTGAAACTGTCCTTCCAGTTTACACCAACAATGTAGTTGATCATTCCATCAATCAGAGTGGACTTTCCTGATCCAGTCGCTCCGAGAAGCATTATTGTGCGATTCTGCCTCGTGCTTTCATCACCAAAGTTAAACTTCCTGCATCCATGCATGCTCATGTGTACTGCTGTTAGACGCAATTGGAAAACTGAGGGGGAATCAGATTTGATCTTTTCACTTTTATGTCTGAGAAGTTCTGCGAGGTGTTTAAATCTTACGTGTGCCATGCTTGAATTTGGTTCAAGTCTAAGTTTTCCAGGAGGGCTGCAGGGAAAGGTTTTAATAGAAACTTGATTATCCGGCCTGACACCTGCTGAGGTCACTGCTCTGCATCTGAACACATACTCTTTGTTTGGCTTCAGATCTCTCACTGTGACTTCTTCAGCCTTTGCTTCTGTCTTCTGCTGCCATCCATCCTCTCCACTGAAACAGTACTCAACAGAGTAGGAGGTAATGTTCTCTGCTCCAAATCTGGGTAGAGAAATCTTCAGTTTCACACTGTTGTGGTTTATCTCAGCTGCTGTCACAGTTTCAGGCTTTGAAGGAGGCTTAAAGTTCTCACTGACAGTAAATCCACCTTCATAAAGGTAGATGCTGGAACCTTCCTGTGTCTCATTAGTTAAACCCACTGTCAGGAACTTAATGTTCTTGTTCTCCTTGTTGGCCTCTGCAAAATCAATAAAGAGTTTCACTTTTTTCCTCATTTCACCTGTTACTTCTTTTGAGGCATACCATTGTTCCTTCTCTGCATCATGAGTGTGAGGATCTTGAAGGTCTGGGTTGGTTTTTCCTTTTAAGTATTTTGATAAAGCTGAGAGGTACGGTTCATCATTTCCCAGAGAGGTGAAAACAAAACACACAACATGATCTGCTCTGAGACTTTCCTTGTACAGATCATTTCGAGATGAAATGATCTTGGTGTTTTTCATCCTGCTGGTGAAAGACATTAATGTGTAGATTTCTCTCTCTTTACAGTCCATCCACTCTCTCAGGTTTTTGTTGTTAAAAGGTGAAGAATGTCTGTTCTTTAGGACCTCTGAAAGCTCAGCTTCTTCTTCTCCTCCTCCTCGGATTGATTGAAGTTTCTTGGCCAAAGTTTGTTGGAATTTCAGCTTGAAGTCAGAGCACATTTCTTTAAAACGTTTAAGATTTTTGCCAATCTGTGGGAACTCCTGTGCAGTGGTGATTCTCAGTACATCATTGTATCTCATTTCCAGCTCCCTAAAGCTCTCCAGGACACTTTGTGCTTCTTGAATTAATTCTATACTGATCTCACAGATAAGTTTAGCAGCAGAAGAATCTAAACATGTCAGTGGCAGCAGCCAGACCTTCATTGGTACAGCTTTTTCTCCATTGGGTCCCAGTAATCCTGGCAGGCTTTGGTAGACTTTTATTGCATCTTGAAAGGATGTTGGTGGTTTTGGAAGACAAAAGTCTCCATAAAATCTGCAGGAAAATTCATCAACACTTGCCTTTACTTTATCTTTCATCTTCAGGGAACCTTCACTTTCTACAGAAAGTAAGGGAATTTTCTGGATAATCACCTTCATGTTACCCTCAACATCTTGGTGATCTTCCTGTTCAGAAACCTCATGGCCCAACACGAAAAAAGCTTGTGCTCCATAAAGAATAGCTGTGACTACATGTGTTGCTTTTTCAAATAATAAGGATGATTCACATTTCCACTTCCAAGATGGTTCACGGACAGCTTCTGGATATCTGTTGTTGCCTTGTACATCATTGTTATTCTTGTCTGATTTCTGGAAGATTTATTGTCATTCAGATATTTGGCAGATCCATCAACCTGAACCAGTCCACCCAGGAAACTTGCCTTCAGTGAAGCATTAACATTTAGAGTTAAAAATTTGTCCTCAATTGATTCAGAAGCAACTATTTCAAAATCATTAGAGGCCTGTGGTCTTTCTCCAATATCTTTCATCAGATCATCACAGTCCCACAGAGTCATTCCTGCAAAAGATTAAGAAATAAAAGCACTTTGTTTATCTTAATAAAAAGTATGTTTTCAAACTTCTGGTTAGGCCAAAAGTGTGTACAATTATTGAAAACAAGTTGGACGTTGGAAGACTGTACAATTATTGTTCCACACCAGTTTTTTAAAAACCTACAAGAAATTCTGACTTCTCTGAAGCAAACTATGAAGAGATGATGGGGTGCTTAAAACATTTGCACTGTAATAGCTGTGATGCATCAAGTATTCTTACATGGGAATTCTTACCAGGGATAAGCAAGTCACTGCGGCAGTCATACAGCATCCCGATGCAGAAAGGCTGGCCGAGCACTGCCACCTCCATAGGCCACATTCAGTCTAAACTGGACAAAAAGAAAAAAAACAACATTTTTTTTGCTTGACATCTTTTCACTCACTGTGAACACTGATTTACATTTTTTATCAAACGTCTTGATGCATTCTCAATCATCTATGAAAGTAAATCTCCAAAAAGTTGATTCGGTTCATCTGGACGTAGCGTTTTGCTGGAGAAACGTTTCATCACTCATCCAAGTGACTTCTTCAGTCTCAGCTGACTGCAGGTTCCCCCAATCTTATAAACAGCACATTTGCATAATGACTGAAACCAGCCCACTGAAGGAACAATGGGCCGGGAGGTGCAAATTCTCATGACCATTGATCAACAACCACTGATTAATGTCCATGAGTACCATTCACAGAGAGTTGGGGAATGGCTGCAATCACAGCATTGTAAGATGGCGAAAGATGTACCCTTTGCTTTTAGATGAGAATACTCTTAAAAAGGTATTTGACTTTGCTTAGAAGGCTCGTCTAGCACAGCACAAGAAGTCTGAGACTAGGCAACAAAGGAAGTTTGACTTGTTGTATGTCGGAAACCACCGCAAAATACGGAGAGTGTCCTCCGGGACCAGAAGAGTCAAGGATGCGACACCGAGGATGTGGACAAGTGGGTGAAGTATTTGTCCGACAGACAGCTCACCCAAACAGAGAGAAACATCCTTGCTAAAGGGCTGAATTTTGCTGTCACACCGAGACAAATCCCGCTAGTGGAGCTGATCACAGCCATAGAAACAGCAATTCGTAACAACAGTATTGCAGAAGTGGAAGCAGAGCAACTACGGACGAAAGTTTCAGCCTGTCTCAGCAATGCAAAGCCCCCAGCATCCAACATCACCGTGGAGGAGAGGAAGGCACTCACATCACTTAGTGAGTTAAGATGGCGCCGGTGAGGTCGGCTACCATGCAGGATGCTCTGCCCCAGCTTTTCCACTTTTTTTTAAATTTTTTCATCACTTTTTGCTATATCTGCCATAATCTTGCATGGGCATCATGCAAAACACACAAATTCGCTAAAGTAAAGACACTCTGGTTTCTATTGGTCTACAATACACGAACATTTCACCATGTTTAACTCCGGACCCAACCTGGCCAAAGGAGATCCTGAGAGAGAACAAAGGACGCGACCCTAAGCGACGGCCTCGAGGGAAACGAGCCGGCATCAGGAACAGGCTACGGGCTCACGCACACCGCGCACCCATGCCCAGCATCCTGCTAGTCAATGTTCAATCCATCGAGAACAAGCTTGATGACCTCAGAGCCAGAATCAAGTTCCAGAGAGACATTCGGGACTGCAACCTCCTCTGCTTCACCGAGACTTGGCTGAACCCAGCGAAAACCCAAAAAAGAAAAGTGGCAGGTTAGCCTTCTTAAGACTGTGAGATTTCCATCAGTAATGGGGGACATCTAAAAGCTGACGTGTACCGTAAACCTACACATACGGATCAGTATTTAAGGTTTGACTCTCATCATCCACTGGAGCACAAACTGGGTGTCATCAGGACGCTACAACACAGAGCGAACACCATCCCCACTGACACAGCGGCCAGGGAGGCAGAAGAACATCAAGAAGGCCCTGAGTAAATGTAGTTATCCCAGCTGGACTTTTGTCAAATCTGGAAAGGCTCCTAAAGAAAGCTCCAGCTGATCCAGGAGAGAAGGACAACCGCTGCCTAAGAGAAAACCTGTAGTGATCACCTGATGTGTCAGGAGTATCGGAGCAGTTGAGACGCATTTTTTTTCTAAACACCGGGTCTCTGTGGCTTTTAAACCCCAAAACACGCTGTGCCAAAAATTGGTCCACCCCAAGGATTGGATCCCCCGACACAAACAGAGTAACATAGTGTACGCTGGTAAGTGCAGGAGGATTGCCAGGATTTATACATCGGGGAAACCAAACAACCTCTGGATGGCACAACACAGAAGAGCTACCTCGTCAGGCCAGGACTCTGCAGTCTTTATACCTACAGGCCAGTGGACACTCTTTCAAGGATGAGGATGTAACATCCTGGACAGGGAGGAACGCTGGTTTGAGCGCAGAGTCAAGGAGGCCATTTACGTGAAAAGGGAAAGACCATCTCTGAATCGAGGAGGAGGCCTAAGGGTATATCTGTCACCATCTTACAATGCTGTGATTGCAGCCATTCCCCAACTCTGTGTGAATGGTACTCATGGACATTGATCAGTGGTTGTTGATGAGTGGGTTTTGGTCAGTGGTTGTTGATCAATGGTTATTAGAATTTGCATAATTAAGATTAAGGAACTGACCTCCCAGTAGGGCTGCACGATTAATCGTTGGAAAATCGCGATCTCGAGTCATACTTATGTGCGATCTCATTTCCAAATGACAATGATTTAAAAAAAGAAAAGAAAAAAAGATGACGATTGTACTGCAGTTTGATCCGGGACATAATCTGCATGAAAACAAGCTGTGGTGGGGCGTGGTTTGCGGTGCCGTGCGGGCGCACCTGCACGGCATCCGCAATCACGCCCGCCGTGTTAAAACACGGGGACTCAGGGGTTGGTGGGTGTGTGGTGTGACGTGAATTAAAATAAAGTTGGTTCTGAACGTTGCTCCGTGGTCCCGCCGTGCCTTATTCACGCCACATTGGTGCCGAAACCCAGGAGGCGGCACGGCGGGTCCGTATCGGAGCCAGGGAATGGAGGAGCTGGCTCGAAGGGTGGCCGAAATGGTGGCCGCCCAGCGGGAGCAGGCGGCGGAGGTGCGTCGCCAGCAGGAAGAGCTGCAGGACCGGTCCGAGCGCCACCTGGAAAGGATTGGGGAGCTGGTGGCGCTGCTCTGGGCCTGGGCGCCACCCCCACAAGTGTGTCCCGAGGACAGTGAAGCGGTGGAGGAGCCGTGTGGGGCACCTCGGCAGCCGGAGGTGGTGGACGAGTCACGCGGGGGTCCGAGCCTGCCGGAGGAGGAGGAGCAGCTGGGTGAAGGGCTGCTCCTGCCGGGAGCGGTGGAGGAGCCGCTCCAATCGGAGGCGGAGGACGAGGCGGGCGAGGGTCTACACCTGCCGGAGGAAGAGGAGTCGCTCCACCCAGAGGTGGACGAGGGGCTGTGCCTGCTGGAGGTGGAGGCGCAGTGCGGGGAGCCGCTCCAAACGGGAGTGGCGGAGGCGGTGGCGGAGCAGCCGTGCGAGGAAACGGAGGTCCCTGCTCCAGAGCAGCCTGCGCAGCCGGAGTTGGAGGCAGAGGAGCGGGACAGCCCCGCTAAGCCGGGGGTCGGCGGGCTGGCTAGTCCAGCCTCGCTGCCACCAGTCGATTCTGCGCGCCTGACGTCTGCCCAGCCGCCTGTGTACAGGAGCTCACGGCCATGCCTGTGGGGCCGTGTCCGCTTGCTACGCGGCCGACCTCCGGACCACCTTCGCCGTTGCCGCTGGATGCGCGGGCGGCCACCAGAATGGACGCTTCCCCGTCGCTTGGGCTGGGGCGCCGATGTTTTGGGCCGAGTCTCGCCCCAGTTCGCGGGGGGGAAGTAGGTTCGGCCAGATTGCTCCCCGGCCTCAATCGGGCGATGGGGGTATGTGGTGGGGCGTGGTTTGCGGTGCCGTGCGGACGCACCTGCACGGCATCCGCAATCACGCCCGCCGTGTTAAAACACGGGGACTCAGGGGTTGGTGGGTGTGTGGTGTGACGTGAATTAAAATAAAGTTGGTTCTGAACGTTGCTCCGTGGTCCCGCCGTGCCTTATTCACGCCACACAAGCGCTCACGGTTCCTGCTCAACAAATGACAAGGGCGGAGCCTTATACCACGTGATACAGAAGCCATCTGGCAGGGAAAAAAACAACGGAGAGCACGTGAAACTGCCCGAGGGGAGAAAACACAATGAGTGCAGAGGAAACGTTTCCTGATGGCGGTGAGAATGACAACCCCACTGTAAAATTACTTCCAAGAAAAGATTCTCATTCCTCCGTGTGGAAGTTTTTTGGCTTCAAAGAAGACGATGAGAGTCAAAAAAATATCATTTGCAAGCTGTGTTTTGCCATAGTAGCAGCACCGCACGGTAACACTACAAATCTGTATAACCACCTCAAACGTCACCATAAAGTGCAATATGACGAAGCTGTAAAGGCCGAGAAAGTGACAGGAGAAACTCCGTCCCCGTCAACCACCCAAACATTAATAACGGGAACGTTATACAGCGCTTCCCCATACCAGTCGACCTCCCGCAGGCACAAAGAAATTACGGAGGTCATCACTTATCACCTGACCAAAGATATGGCTCCCATCAACACTGTGCAAAACGAGGGATTTAGGAGAATGATCAACACCCTAGACAAACGCTACACAGTGCCGTCCCGCAACTATTTTTCTATTGTTGCACTACCTGCTCTATACACGCAGCGTCAAGCAACGGTGGAGACGAAATTACAAGCAGTACAACATTTTGCGGCAACGACAGACTTATGGTCCAGTCGAACTATGGAGCCATACATGAGCCTGACAGTCCATTATGTTACCAGGGACTTCACCATGAAAAGTCGGTGCTTACAAACTGCCTTTTTCCCCGAGGATCACACAGGCGAGACTCTAGCACATGGATTAAAGGAGGGTCTTATCTCTTGGAGTTTGGAGGAGGAAAAAATGGTGTGCATAACAACAGACAGTGGAGCCAACATTGTGAAAGCAGCATCCCTTAATAACTGGACAAGGCTTCAGTGTTTTGGCCACAGACTACATCTTGCTATAGGTAAGCTCTTGTAAGTTGATAATTTTATTTTGTTTAAAAAACAAACAAACAAACAAACAATAGCTATATGCTAGTATGATGTATATTATAAACAACAATAGCAGCATTTATAATACTACAAAAATAGTTCATATTAATACAGCTGTATGTTTTAAACAACAATAATAATTAGGCAATAATGATACTGTAAGATTTTGAATATAATAATAAATTAGTTAATGACAAGAACTGATTCAAATTTTCTTCTATTTTTTCTTGTTAGAGAATTCAATGAAAGATCCAAGA